TTCAACGTTTGAAATATGGTTGAAATCGGTTGAATGAGGTCTGAACGTCTAAGACCTCATTTCAACGTCTTTTCAACCGTCTAAAAATGGGATGAAACATCAACGTGCCAGAAAACGTTAATTTGTTGATAAATGTGTCAGGTTGTAACGTAAGGTGAAAGAGAGACGATATTAACGTTAAGATTTTCAGAATAATTATGAACTGGTCGGCGAAATTTGGTCTACGCGAAGCGTAATTTCAACGTATTACTATTTCGCTAAAACGTCATAAATTGAAACTACGGACGGTGCTGTCAATAAGATGCGTTTAAGACATAATAATGCGGGCAGGTTCAACATTACTTGTAAACACGTAACTCCGCTCAACATCTGTAACGCGCATGCGCGAGTTCTTAGACGCCTGCAGAGCTCCGAGCGGACGCAGCACGAAGCGAAGTTACGGCAGCAGAGCGACATGAACGGGCTGATAACCACGACTACCGGCTCCACTACTCTGTAAGTACGCGAGTGTTTGAATGAAGCACACCTGGAACTATAACCGGGTGTTTTACTTGTTGCTGCCGACTCGATACAGGAAAGACGGCCCTTTTTGTTGTTAGCTAGTTCGTTAGCGCAGGTAGTTTGCTAGTTAGCATGCTAGCTTGGAGCATGCTAGCGTGCAGCATGATGACCTGGACCAAAAGTAAACATTCCAGACATTTTTGTGCGTGTTTGGTGTTGCTAATGCGTTAGATTGTTGCTGTACCCATAAATATTATTGCATTTCACATTGAAAAAAATACGTTTTTAAAGCAATGGTGGCTAAGTTGCATTGCAGGGTGAAGGCTGAATTCAACAAGTTGTGCTCTGTAAACAAGAGGGACAACACATTGTAAGTTACTGCTGCTTAAATCATGATACTGTGTAATATACCTGAAATGTTACTCCAGAAACCCTAAGTTGCAGATGAATTGTTATCTTGTTGATAATGTACTAAGTAAACCATCTATAAATGAGTGTTCTAACGCACCTACTGCTGTTACTATTATAGTTTATACTGTCATCATAAACCCAAATGACCAACTTTGCCTTTTGCTTTCCCTCTCACAGGTTCTGCGGGTTGTGGGTGCATCTGATGGAGGGTACGTCTGATGATGGTTGTCCCTGCACTGGTGCCTGCCTACCCCTGGCTTAGTAATCCACAATATTAGAATAATTTCTGTCGTAGGAATGGATGACTGTACATCTTTAAATTGTTCATACTCTACCACCTTCTGCCTTGCTGTTTTTCTCCTCAGGTTTCTCCCGGTTGAAGGTTTTTTACATTTTGGGGGTTTTAGGACAGGATGTTGCATGTTAACAGATTGCAAAGCTGAACAAATAAAATGATTGAATTGAATAAACACGTTGACCAAGGAAATCTGCAATTGAGGGCTGTTCTCTGCACTCTGACTCCCTTTACACAAAGAATCATCAAGTGAGGATGAGGGAGATGCAGCTGATTTCAGGTATACTATCCCAACTCAAGTGACTCACAGCCACATCTTTTACAGAATCTAAAAATGAAGTTCAAATGATTCAGAAAAATGGGTCTACAAACACAGAATGTTGTTGTGAACACAGAAATTGTTCTTCTGCACTTTTAAATATATAGTTCATTTCCCTGAAATATATATTTTATTTTTGTACTGTTTTTTAATTAGGAAAGTGTTATATGTATAGTGTTATATTTATAATAAATGCAAATAATAAAATAATGTGTTTGTCCATGTTAAGGGCTGTTAACATGACAAGTGTGACTAAGTATGTAACTTGTAAGTTTCCAGCGAGCAATTTATCCGTTGAAACAACGTTAAAGACGTCTATGGCCCGACGTTGAAAGAGGTTGCAAATTGGTTCAAAAGTGAAAGTTGTTTCAACGTCTATTCGTAGACGTTGAAAGACGTTTACGTTTAGACCACATTTCAACCAGCGAGCATTTCAACGTTTAAAAGACGTCTATGGCCCAACGGTTGAAAAGAGGTTGCAAATGGTTTAAAAGTGAAAGTTGTTTCAACGTCTATTCGTAGACGTTGAAAAGACGTTCGCGTATAGACCCGTTTTCAACGTGATTTATAATATCGGTGGTAAACTTACAAATGTGGACGTAGTTTCTTTTTAAACCTCTAAATAATGATATAGCACACAAGAGAGGACGAAATATTACCGTATTAAAAATCACATTGAAATGTGGTCTAAACATAGACGTCTTTTCAACGTCTACGAATAGACGTTGAAACAACTTCACTTTTAAACCATTTTGCAACGTCTTTTCAACGTCGGGCATAGACGTCTTTTAAACGTCTTTTCAACCAAAAAATGCTCACTGGGGTTGGTTGGGGGGGGCACCACCAAGCATTTGTGCTTAGGGCACCCAAATGGCTAGCGCCGGCCCTGGGAAAACATATGGTATAGATTCACCATTAGAGGTTTTCTGCCAACCGCATGCTCAAGCTTTTCAACCGCGGAGAAGAACCAATGACATCTCAATTAGATAAAAGGTACCCAGTGAGCATTTTTGGTTGAAAGACGTTTAAAAGACGTCTATGCCCGACGTTGAAAAGACGTTGCAAAATGGTTTTAAAAGTGAAAGTTGTTTCAACGTCTATTCGTAGACGTTGAAAAGACGTCTATGTTTAGACCACATTTCAACGTGATTTTTAATACGGTAATATTTCGTCTTCTCTTGTATGCTATATCATTATTTTAGAGGTTTAAAAAGAAACTACGTCCACATTTGTAAGTTTACCACCGATATTATAAATCACGTTGAAAACGGGTCTATACGCGAACGTCTTTTCAACGTCTACGAATAGACGTTGAAACAACTTTCACTTTTAAACCATTTTGCAACGCGTTTTCAACGTCGGGCCATAGACGTCTTTTCAACGTTGAAATGCTCGCTGGTTGAAATGTGGTCTAAACGTAAACGTCTTTTCAACGTCTATGAATAGACGTTGAAACAACTTTCACTTTTGAACCAATTTGCAACCTCTTTTCAACGTCGGGCCATAGACGTCTTTTAAACGTTGTTTCAACGGATAAATTGCTCGCTGGAAACGTACAAGTTACATACTTAGTCACAGTTGTCATGTTAACATCCCTTTACAAGGACAAACACATAATTTTATTGATTTGTATTTATTATAAATATAACACTATACATATAACAGCACTTTTGCTAATTAAAAACAATACAGAAATAAAATATATTTTCAGGAAAATAAATTATGGAATTAAAAGTGCAGAAACAACATTTCTGTGTTCAACATTTCTGTGTTTGTAGACCATTTTTTCTGAATCATTGGAACTTCATTATAGATTCTGTAACAAGATGTGCCTCACTTGAGTTGGGATAGTATACCTGAAATCAGCTGCATCTCCCTCATCCTCACTTGAGGATTCTTTGTGTAAAGGGAGTCAGAGTGCACGGAGCAGATTCCTCTGGTCAACGTGTTTATTCAATTCAAATCATTTTATTTTGTTCAGCTTTGCAATCTGTAAACATGCAACACCCTGTCCCCTAAACCCCAAAATGTAAAAAACCTTCAACCTGGAGAAACCTGAGGGGAAAACAGTAGGGAAGAAGGTGTGAACAGGTGTGTAGAGTATGAACAATTTAAAGATGTACAGTACATCCGATTCCTACAACATAAATGATTCTAATATTGTGGATTATTAAGCCAGGGGTAA